TTTCAGTCTGAGCCCGAAGTTTGCTAACCGTTCAGTCCAAGCTTGCACTTGTTCCTCGAGACCATTCTTATCCTCGCAGGCGAGCATCACATCGTCAGCGTAGAGAAGCGTCCAAGGAGCCGGCTTCTGGAGGTCCCGTGAAATGGCGTTCATGACGACAACGAAGAGCAGCGGGGAAAGCGCTGAGCCTTGGTGCACCCCAACTGTGATGGGGAACCCCATCGAAATGCCTGCTGGACTTCGCACTCGACTCGTCGGGCTGGTACAGGATGCGTACCCACTCAATCAGCTCTTCGGGAACGCCGTGCTGCCGTAAGGCATACCATACTTCACGTGGGACACGGTCGAATGCCTTCTCCAGATCAAGGAAGGCTAGGTGGACATGCTTCTTCTTCTCACGATGTTTCTCCAGCAAGAGGCGAGCGGCATGTATGGCGTCGATGGTGCTACAGCCAGTCACGAAGCCACACTGGTTGGTAGAGCTGGACGATATCACGAAGACGCTTATCAACAATTCGCTCAAAAATTTTCATGCTGTGCGAGAGCAAGCGAATTGGACGATAATTTGAGCAGTCTGCAGGACTGCCTTTTTTCTTCCAGATCGGTACCGTCGTGCTCTCTTGCCATACTTCGGGCATTTTCTTCTCTGCAACGACCTGATTGAAAAACGTTGTCAACCATTCGGCAGCATGCCAGCAGTGTGACTTCCATACTTCGACCGCCACGTCGTCAGGGCCCGTTGCCTTGCCTGGCTTCATCTTCAGAGCCGCCTCCGTTTCCTTCACGCTTATCTTTTAAACGGGGCGTGTTCATATTCCACTGGAAATTTCTCCGAAGTAGTCGCGCCATCGCCTCAGCACCTTTGTTCGGTCCATCAGAAGGCGGCCCTTCTCGTCATTGATGCCAAAGAACTTCTCTACATCTTCGGTCTGGTGGTGACGAGCCTTGGCAAGTCGGTAGATGTGCCGCTCGCCATCGCGCGTTTCCAGCTTCTTGCTGATATCTTCGAAGTGAGCGGCTTTTGTAGCAGCCACAGCCTTCTTTGCCGTACTTCTCGCTTCCTGATACTTCCGCCAGTTGTCAGCTGACTTGTCTTTGAGGAACAAGTGATAGCGCTTCTTCTTCTCGTGAACCTTTAGCCTGACGTCATCTGTCCACAACCATGCCTGCTTTTCAATTCTACGCCTTCCAGGTTTCGTTGTGCCAAGTTCAGAGCGAGCGGCCTGAACTATCGCTTTGGCGGCATTCTTCCATGTTTCATCGACAGTTGTGACAGTTGGTAATCGAATGCGAGAGATCACAGCTGCCTCCTTTCCTTTAGATGCCACCATTTGATTCTCTCGGGACCACATCGCTCTATCTGTTTCGACCTGGGCGGTGTTATCTTCAGCGTACAGATAAGCGGGCGATGTTGCGAGGCTACTGTCTCATACGGCACGGTCTTCGCGTCTGTGACAAGTCCTTGATCGCGATGCCTGACAAGAACAAAGTCTATTTGTGTTCTGGCACTCCCGCTGTAGAAGGTTATCAGGTGGGAGTCGCGTTTACGGAACTTTGTGTTCACGATGGCGAGATTGGGCTTCTGCATATTCCAGGATGCGTTCGCCATCGACGTTACGTGTTCCATAACCGAAGCCACCATGACAACTGTAACCGTCTTTCGTTGTCCTGTCCTGTCCTCGCATACTTTCCACACTCGCCGGGCCATACGAGTGCGCGTCAGGCTTCACCACCTTTTGAATGCCCATATGTTTCAAAGAAAACAAAATTCTCAGAATAATTATGCTGAAGGCTTGGATTTTTCATCAGTTTTCACATTCTCTCTCCGATAAGGTGTTTTTAGGGCTCGTGGCACAGGCTAAATGACGAGAAAGCGGAATTGCTGTCATCATTGATAGCCACAGCACTAGACGTAAGATTTTGAGCCGTTAAATCCTCGTAGTTACAAAGTCTAGAATGCCGGACCTCATAGACCCACACATTAAATTGAGGAATGATGCACCAGCACCTCTTACCCGCGCGTAGCTCGCCAGTGCATGTGGTTGCTTACGCGGGGGCGTCGCATCGCGCAGCCATTATTTTTTTACATTGCAGAGCTACAGCTTTTCTACCGCTAAGCCCTACGAAGTGGAGTCAGTACTGGTCTGCTATCTTGCGTGAACACAGCACTGTGGTTGTCAGTTATTCATCTCCACACTTAGGCTCTCCATGGTCGCTCGTCAGCCCCCAGATATCGCATGTTGCAGAACAGGGAGGAGGGCGGGGAAGTCACGAACACTGCTGCACATTAGGCTGGCGTTCATACTTCGTGACTTGAATTATTGAGTCGCCCGATTTCAGACTTGCGAAACTACGAAGGGCCGCGCTCGGTGGCTAATCGCTTTACCGCTGTAGCTGCAACGCGAATCACATTCGCTACAGG